AGTTATCCAATTTTGGTTTAAATAACGATGCTAAACTGAAAATAGAAAACTCTAAATTGAGCGCTTCAGGAACTCCAAATACTCGTCTTAAAAAAGGCCCAATAATCAGAAGAACAGAAGCCAGAGGTTTCTGACAAAACCTAACCTAAAGGGGGAGAGAGAGAGAGAGAGAGAGATATGGGGGGAAAACAAAAGTAGAGGATTCTTGCTTCAGCAACGATCAAGTTATGGTAAAAGTAATGGGATCTCCATTACTTTTGAGTAAAGGAAAGGATATTTGCTCTATCAAAAAAACAAAAGGAGAGGATTCTTGCCCAAAATTTCCACATAACAGTTTCTGTGCAAATTGGTTATGTGCATCACATATTGGTTGAAGGTTTGTTTGAGAGCATCCATGCTCACCCAAATGAAAAACCCTTGCCTTAAAGTTTAAGGCAAATGGAACATTATAAGCAAAGTATAGTGCAAGACAACTTCAATATCGCATTCCAATCTTTGTATTCCCATCCTAAGAAATATAAAAAAATGAAGAAACTGTAAAGAACAAGAAATGACAGAAAATCATTCAAAGAATCAACAGGAAATGCGTATCAAATTTAATCAAAGCTTTAAATTTATAAGGCTAAGCTTGCAATAGCATACATGTGCAGAAGCCACAGAAACAAATAATGAAAAAAAAAAAAGAAATAGGGGAAAAAGAAAATTACTTAAGTATTTGTCTACTTGTCACTCATATCAAAGTTCTATAAATTTTACTAGACAAAGATGACATCTTATCTGATTATAATAGCCAATAATTTGCCAAGGAAAACCAAATATTCTTCTTTGAACAAAAAATAAAACTTTCATTTTGTGAGGGTTCAATGGCAACAACAAGAAAACCAGGAACGAGAAAGGAAAGGAGAGAAGCAGCTATCCTTAGAGAGAATGAATAATTTGCTTCCACTTCCTAGTAAGATGGTGCAGGAACTCTTGAAAAAGCCTCTTAATAGTTAATACAACATCATAAAAAAATCATGTCTCATGCTCACTCACATAAACTATCTCTTAACCCTAATTTTTTAATCAGAGAGAACTACAATTTAAAAGTCCAATGACAAGGACAGAGGCAATTTCTTCTCCTCCTTTTTCTATGAATGATTTACTTGTCCCCTGCCCCTTTCCAGAGACGAACTTAAGCAATATTCAAGCAAAAGATATCTCGCATTTTAAAGAAATATGTAAAATCGAAAGTACAAGTTTCAACCAGGCTTTTTCTTTTTTTGTTTATTTCTGGGATGGGGCTTGTAGGTAGAAAGAATTATTGATGATAGTTAATCCTGCAAGAAAATCATTAGATATCAACCGGAACCATTGCAAGCTCACCCTAAAAGATTGGGAAGACTAACCATGTTCGTGTGCTTGACCATTTACAGATACTCGTTCCCATGGCTTTTCCACTACCTTTATTATTGCAGTAAAAACCTACAAAAAAAAAAACAAAAAAGAGATGCCAAACGTCTGCATCAGCGAAATGACAAGCATTTTACATAATATTTAATGTGTTACACCCAAATGACTCAAGTGTTAAATATAGAGCCTATATGCTTCAAAACTAATGTCATAAAATGAATCAAGAAATTTGTCAACAAGTCAAGCAAGGCTTATTAAGATGCTCATTAATGTTAATTCACTTATTAGATAGTGCCAGCTCAAGATCATATTCAATCTTATATGCTCAATAAATACCAAAAATTGTACAATAGGTGTATTTTACTTTCACGAGAAACTTACTCAAAATCAAGTTTATTGTTGGAAAAGAAGTCATCAAGTGACCTTTAAAGATACATAAATTTCTAGAAGTACGCATGAAAAGAGATAGAAAGAGTGACATGAAGAAGCCGATTTAGTTAAATGTTCAGCTGAAGTTTTATAAGGCAAATCAAGAAATAATTAGATGAAGCTTGAAAAGAATGAAAATATGGTCAGCTCATTGATAGGCATCACCAACATATTTTAAGAGAATGAACAAAAGTATATTCCGACTGGAAAAGCTCATCATACCATGACTAAAAGCAAATGAATAAAGTATAGACTGTATTTTAAAAGTTCTTGATAAACACAGCAAAGCTTTTTATTTTATTTATTTATTTTGTTACAAAACATAATAAATTTCAAGAAGTAAGTCTCCTAAGCTTGTAGAGTTAAGAATTTTTATTTCAACAAGCTCAAATAGAAGACTTAATAAAAAACTCATAATGCTCCTCCTGTATTTCTTATATCATTTTAAACTCTTCAGAGTTCAGATTAAAATTCTAGGCCACCATGAATTTAATATGTCAGATAAGCAATGTAAAGAACACCATTAACAATTTCTCAGAAGATGTCAGCTGTCTCTAGTCTTGATTACTTTGACTAATGAAAAAACTCTCTTGACTTTTTTCTCAAAATTTTGGCAATGAAACCTTATAGTATTTTCTGTAATGAAACCCAAACAAGAATACACAGATCAGTCTAGAACATGATTTGTTTGTTTTTCAATTTCTATATATTTTGATTTAATGTTGACATGAATAGTTTCTTTGTGATGTGTGAATCATTATTGTTTGTTTTCTCAGGTCAAGGTTAATATATGAATGAAGAAAGGTCTCGCTAGAAAAGAAGCTTACGTCCCAACTCGAATATATTTGCCCAAAACATTGCTGAGTTATATACCGTAAGACAGAAATATTATAGTTGTATTTTAATCCCCTCATACATGAATGTTGAGTTGATAGCTTCATGTTTCACTTTACCCAGTGATATTCACCTATGGTTTCCTTCTTTGTGATAAACACCAAGTAGACAGTACTTCACTCAAAACTCAAAAATGGGGTGTCAGTTATTTAATCCTAAACCTCGAGTTGCCCCAAGCCACCAAAATGAATGAGGTATCAACTCAGGAACGCATCTGTAAGAGAAACACTACATTTTGTTTTCTTCCTGATGCTGAAAACGACAAGTGCTTTATCCTCGTACTAAGAAAGAGAAGGAATCATTCGTCTCCCTATCAGTATCTCAAAAGCTATTGAAGGAAGTTTGAGCCTTTTTATTCATCAGATCGAAATAAATTCTTCAATATTAAGAAACTACCTGTGCATAAAATGATGTGAAGTGCTTGCCCAGTAGAATCGCAAACTCCTCTGCAGAAAGCTGTTCAGAACATTCCTTTGCTTTGACATAAACCTGTATTGTAATTTTAACAATTACTTTCAGATGACATGGCAACAATGCTGTAGATAGGAGAGAAAATTTCTCAATCAACATGACTGTAAAAATGATAAATACTTAATTAAGAAATTATGGTTTGAAGATTAATTTTTATATTGAGATACACGCCTACAATTCTTTTGTCTTCTCATTATCTATTCAACATTCAAACCAATTGCTTAAACGAATACTTTTCCATATCGTCCTATTAACTTTATAGATCACTTTCAGTTGCATAGTGCAATTCGAAAAGTGCTAAATATCATTTATTTTTAGGATAAGTGATGCATATATTGTTGTTCAAAGAGTTGGATTCAAATTCTTTCTAAAAAAAACAAAAACTTAATTTTCTTTTAGTACATATAATAAAGTACAGGTGGAGTGAAGATTTAAGCCTTGTACTTTAATTCTCTTTATAACAGTAACAACCTTTAGATCAAACATGAGTTATTAACTTGGAAGAGAAATTGTAAAGTGCCGAAGCACGCATCAAAACTACCATGAATTCAAGAGATAGATGAATCCTCATTGAATATTTCTGACATTTTTCATGTTGGCCCCCAGATTTTCTCAAATTTATATTCTTTTCCCTAAAACTTTGAAACATTGCAGATCCATTATGCAGTACAAGATTTATAGCAGACAGGAATTCAGAAATGAACCTATCAAATTGAAGTTCCAACCTCTAACCTAGAACAAGCTGAACCAACCAACCAACAACCCCTAACCTCAGAATTGGAAAAAAGGAAAACGTGTTTAATATTAAAAGATTCTCACAGTGTTTTTCATGGTGTCAGTGGCGACGATGTCAGAGTTGTCGTCACGGACGTAGGCGCCAGTACAATTGGAAAGCAAGCTAATGTTGACATTCCATTCCACCATAGAATGCGGCCTTCCATCTTTGCTCCGCCAAACTCTGCCTACTCTAACCCTTGCCTTCCCATGTCTTTGCTCGAAATTGAATCCATCCATCTCCTTCGCCATTGCTCCTCTTCCTCTTGCGCCGAAATGTCCTACTCGGAAAGGCTTTAAATAGGCTTGGAGGCAGAGAATGCTAGGATTCACTGGATTTTTATAAAGGAAAACTTGCACGTATTTCTTTCTATCTCCACCATCACCTGCCCCCACTCTCCCTCACATCGGGAATCTTACAAATCCCATCATTTTTCTTTTCCATTTTACAACATCATCTCCCAAAAGAGAAGACAGCCTTTTTTTTCTTCTTTATTCTATTGGCTGGATGTGATCTTACTTTATCCCGTACCTAAAAGACTGGATTCCTTCAACTATTAGTTCAGACTTTTCAAACTTGTTTCATTCATAGGAGGATTGAATTGACGAGGAGCGTGACATTCACCTAACATAACCGTGACTGGGCAAAGGGAGCAGTTAATGTTTACCTTTCGGGACGATGACGACCATGTTGAAGTGTTTGTTTTCTAAGAAAATTTTTCATTGACTCCACTGTGCCCACAGTATCCGGTTTTTGCCAGTTTTTGATTCACTGTGGGCTATTGTTATATATATATATACACTAGTTTTTTTTAATACATATGCACCGACATTCCTCTTTACAGAGTATTTTCTATTTTTTTTTAAATTAGATCTGATTTTTTTCATTTTTTATAAAAAAATTGAAATTAATTTTATAGTTCAATACACCAAATCTCCACGTTCGAACTCTCAATTCTCTCTTTGCTATAAGCGATGATCTCTTACTGTAACTATAATTCACTATCAATTTCCTTTCTTAATGTTCTTTGTTCATCAAATTCTACTAATTCTTAGATCTATTAATTTCTTATGTTTACATTGAAGCATTGAAATTAAATATTTGTCGCTTTTGCATTCTTACTTTGATTTATGCAATGTTATCTTATATCTTTCGATTAGAAAGGTGTCTTGCAGAAAGGACGATTGAGAGTGATGGGTGTCGACACATGGTGCTATTAGTTATATTATTTGATTGAGAGTTGTTTTGGGACCAAGTTTTGTCTCATTTTTCTATTGATTATTATTCTTCTCTTTAATTTCTCCACTCATTTTATTTATAGCCTTTACAACTCTCTCTCCTTTCTTTAATAATGGTTGTTGACACGAGGTTTTGTGTTGTTGAAAACATTGGGTGCTTAGACATGGTACTTTGATTGCGACCTGAGTGAGAGTTGTATTGGGACCAGGTTTTGCCTAATTTTTTTTATCCTTTTGTTCTTTTTCCTTCAATATTCTCCTTCGGTTTGATTTCTTCGCCCCTTTGTGTATAGCCTATGCAACTTTCTCTCTTTTTTTTTATGTTTGTTTCTCTTTATTATTTTCTTTCTTCTTTCTACCTTTTTTTTTCAAGTTCTCTCTCCTTTTTTTTAATATTTATTTGTTATTTGCTCTTTAATTTTTTTATTTCTTTTGTTTTTCTTTGTGGATGTTTACTCTTTTTTTTTTCATAGATAGTGCTTTTTTCCTGGGTTTGTTGTCGATCTTGCATTTTTGTTTATTGACTAGTTTTTCTTTCTCTGATGCTAGGTTTGTTTTGCTCTCCAAGTACAAAACAGTTCCCAAGATTCGCATTATGAAGTGTAAGGCTAAGAATTGAAAATTCTCATTTCTCATTCTCATTTTTTTTACCATTAGACATTAATTACTATACCCAAGTGGCTTATGTCAAGTTTCCATTCATGCAAAAATCTTTTTTTTTTAGTATTAATTATTGAATGGATGTGAAGTTTTGAAACTTTTTAGTATTTTTGCATGTATGCATACAATCCTATTTGTGTGGGTGTATAGATAAAGCTAGCTAAGTGCATTTTCATAATTAAGAATTTGACCGCTCATCTTCTGTATCCTAGATTTTCCTATATTCATAATGCCAATTTGTTAGTGGTCCAACATCATGCACATATATCCCATACATCGTAAACTTATATGTCAACTCCAAAAAAAAAAAAATTGCATTATCATTTCTTAGCCTATCAATTTCGGTAGCACCTAATGTAATCTTTTTCTCCAATAACATTATCCTATAATGTTGAACTATGCTTTGGAATCTTTTCAAAATCTACTTGTAACTGTCTCGTTAGGAGAAAATAACAAGGTATCATCAATATAGATAAATGCATTATCTAATATTGGACTAAATATCTTCATCACAGCTTTCTAAACTAGTGACGAAGCTATCTTCAAACCAAAGGGCATTATCGTTTATTAAAAATGTTGTTGTGGGATGCAAAATGTTGTTTTGTATTTTTTTGATTGAGATATTCCAAGTTGTCATAATCCTGCTTTCAAATCAAACTTGGAGACTACCTTAGCATTGGACAAGTTTGTGACCAGTATTTTTCTATTAGGGAACGAGAACTTGTCATTAGCGAGGAACAAGTTTAGCAGCTTGTAGTTGATAACTAATCTTAACTTGCTACATACTTGCTCTAATCATTTATTGACTTCACAAGCCCATGAGGAGGTTGTGGGCTCAATTAAGGCTGGGGCCTAAAGTTGTGAATACTCTTCAATGGCTAGCTTAAGATGGTATAAGTTTATACTCAAGTGGTTGCCCTTTGTTGGGTTCACCAATTCTTCTTTTTTAAATGATAGAGTGATGAAAAACTTTAGATTTTTCCATAGTGGATTTGGACATATAAAGAGAAAGTTTGCATGGTTGTCTACACAATAAGTTAAGATTAACTTCTATCTTTTATCTTCAAATAGGGTCGGATTCAGAGTGATTGTGAATAGGTTTGCTAGAAGTTTCTATGCTTAAAAGAATTGTCTATACTTGAGATCTTTATCGTTAAGGTTAAGACCAAGATTTCTAGATATGATATCAAATCCAACGACTAAGGCCTTTTGTGGCAAAGAGGAACCTAGTATCCTCTATGTGATTGAGATACTTATGAAAAACTTAATCATAATTGGTTTGCTAATGAAGTTTTTGTAAACGTACTGTCATCAGCAATCTTGAAGTATGTCTTTTGGCTTTCCAAAGTGCTAGTGGTAAGACAACTAGATTAACAGTTCTTTGTGCTACTCTTATTTCGAAGAAGGCTATCACCTAGATGGGTGGCAACTCATCATTAATGTATATCCGAGCAAGGGTTATTAAAGGGGTAAGCTTGTGCACTGTAAAAAATTCTTGGATTGCCATGCAACCATGATTGTTTTTTCTAAGCCATTTTTGAGTAATCTAAATAATCTAAGCTCGAGCTGCATACCTTTATTGAGTTTGGGTCTAAATCATAAGTATGAATAACAAAAATGGTTTGGGGACTCTATTCATTATCAAGTGAAAACACAGATTCAAGATCATCATCATCAGATAGATTGAGACTTGAAGTAATTGCAATTTGCTACATCATCTTGATGGATTTCTTGTCTAATCTAGGATGTTGTTTTGTATAATAACCTGATTTTCCAAAATCAAAGCATTTTGATGACTTCTTGCCTGATTGCATTTTCTTTCTTCCTACTTAAATTTTTTAAATTTCTTGCTTCTTGAGAACTTCCTATTTCTCATAGGTTAGTCCAAGTAGGAGAAGTAATTGTATCTCTTGGGAGATCTCTTGAAGTTGATTTTCATTTTAGATTTGTAAAAACAGGAAGAATTTGTCGATGAACATTTTATTTGTAGTCCTGGCTATAAAGCAAATGGAGCTTTAAGCTTATTGAAATTTTGGACTATATTGGCAATGTCCTTATGCTCATTATAGATCTTGTCAAAGGCTTTCAGCGTAATTCTGTGGATATCTCCGAGTGGAAGGTTATGCAATTCAAGTTCTCTTGCATTCAGTTGCAACTATGTTTGATTATGGAGCTTTGATGATACTGAATTTAAAGAGGCTTGTTTCATAATCATACTATCGTTCCCATCTAGTAGGTAGAAATATTTGCAAAAGTTACAATAAACGTTTGTCTAGACCTTTTATCAATAATGGACAACATTTCAGCTTGAAGAATTGCTCTCTAATTTTGTCAAGTTTATGGCTTTGGTTACCACAAAATATGGATGCAAATTCATTCATAACTATTGTAAAAGATTGGTAATTAAGGAACGCTTGTTGTCAATATTCACCGAGGCTATCCCAAAAATATTTGAGGATTCTTGTTAATCTTGTGGAGAAAGCAACTAGTACTTGTTGTACTGTTGCTCCTGATTTTGTGGGTTTAGTGAATCCCCATGCATGGAATTCTTGAAAATGCAAATTTCATTTACTTGGAAGGATATTTTCAAGGGAGAAGTATTTTGAGAATCTTGAGGATGAGTTGTATTGTTGATGGTGATACTACTATTGATTTGGCAATGGATCAGTTTCCTTTAGTATTAGATCGTGACCATGTATTTCAAGGACATCATCATTTAGTATTTGGACATGTGGTTTTGTTAGGAACATCTTTAGGAAAGTGTCAATGCTGTCAACGATGTAACAGTCTATAGTGGAAAAGATTCTGAACTTTCATTGTTCTCTGAACTGTCATCAACTGACTACAAAATGACATCTGAGGAGTTATTCCAGGCTATATCTTAAAAAAGTCTAGGAAAAATATTAGGAGTTAAGGCTTCTAACATCATGAGCTGGGAAATCGGGTTAGATGACAAGCTTGTTGTTAAGACTAGTAGGTAGGTTGGTGTTAGTGTGGACGTGGGTTTGGATGGTGATAACTATATGATATAGAGTTATTTGAGCTTAATTTTGAAAATAATTTAGCTTAGTTTTTGTAGTAATGTATAAAAATTAATAGATTTCATTTCATTATTTTAAATTAGTTATTTTAGGTGAGTCAATCTAATTTTAGTTAATTTTATACTTAATTTAGTGTTAATGTGGATAAGATAGGTTGTTATTGATTTATTTATGATTTTGTAGGTGTTTGAAAGAAGAATTTTAGTAAAAGAAATAGAACAATTTTGAGGTGCAGATTTTCACTGCACATGTTTCAGTTTTTTAGCTATAACTTTCTCAACAGAGTTTCAAATCAAGCGATTCTTAGACCATTGGAAAGACAAGAGAAAAAGTTACAACTTTCATGTTACCAGATAACCCAGTTTAGCTTGGAAGGTGATCAAAAATCTTGTCGGAGTTCACATACTATAACAGTTTTAGTGCAATTATGATTTCTATTAATTAATTGGGCAAGGCTGCGACTCACATAGTCTGATGAGGAAATCATAGCTGAAATTAACTTCTTCCTTCACCCAACTTGGTCTAACTTCAAAACCTATAAAAAGAACCTTTCAAAAGACTTTTAAAAAGAGAAAACAAAGAAACACCAGATTAACAATTGAGAGTCAAGCCACAAAGTCGTTGAAGCTAAGAAGAATTTGAAGGATTCAAGGAGATTTTGAGATCAAGAATACAACTCTTGAGTTTTTCTATCTTTTCTTTTATTCTCTTATTTTCTTGGCTTTGTTTTTATTGTTTAAACTTTATTCAATGATGATATAATACTTGATGGGACACTGAATTTTTAATCTAAGATTATGATTGAACTCATTATATAGTCTGAACTATTCATCTTTTTTTTACTTATGTTTGATAGATTTAAGTTGTTTATTTTATTCTATTCTTAATGCTTCTAGTTGATTGGCCACCAATTAGATTGAATTGGAAATCTAGGTTAAATCTTAACGAAGGAAATTAAGGTAGACTTTAAATAAAATAGTGTATGATCGAATACACTTAGTTGATTACGTGGTTCGATTTGCATATAGGGTAAACATACACCTATAAACCATACGTAACCAAAATTAGAACATAAACTTAATGAATCTTTCTTTAATATAATTTACATAAACATATAGTAAATTAATTAAGAGAGGTATTTTTATGAGAAACTCGACAGAGACTTATAAATAATTTAGGACTCTAGGTTAGCAACTTGATCCATTAAATTGAGTTAAAAGAGAGATAATATTCAGATGAAGTATTGAGAGACATCATAATTTTAGGTCTGATAATCACTAGAAGTTAATTTGATAATATATTTTAGATTAGTTTTAGTTTTAGTTATTAGTTTAATAGTTTCAAATCTTTCTTTTTGATTTTAATTGTTTAGATAAAATTAGGGTGTGTTAATTTTAATAGTTAACAATAAGGATTAATTCAATTCTCTGTGAGATCGACATTCTACTCATCTCTATATTATCTTTGTGATACATGCACTTGTGTGAGTAGAAAATTGAACAATAAGTTTTTGGCGTCATTGCCAGAGAATTGATTTCTAATTCTTTCTTGTTAATATTAATAGCAAGCATTCTTAATTTTAATCTAAACTTTTCTTTTCTTTAATTTTTCAGGTACCTTTGGTTGTTGTATGCGAAGAGCTCAAAATTTAGAAATTGTTCCTTTTGATCCAAAAATCAAAAAAACTTTTCAAAGACTTCGAAGGAAAAATAAAAGAGTTTATGCTCCAAGTAAAACAATGGTTGATCAACAAGAGGAAAAGACCAAGCCTTTGAGGGATTATGTTGTCCCATAAGTACAAAATCTCCACTTTAGTATCCAAAGACCTTTTATTCAAGCCAACAATTCTGAAATTAAGCCATCAATCAATCAAATGATTCAGATTGATGTTCGGTTTGGAGGTTTGCCTAATGATGATCTAAATGCTCATATTGTAAATTTCTTGAAAATCTGCGATACATTCAAGGCTAATGGTGTTACTGATGATGCCATAAGATTGAGGCTTTTCCCTTTTTCATTGAGAGATAAAGGAAAAAGTTGGTTAAATTCAATTCCTGCTGGTTCCATTAATACTTTCGATGATTTGGCTTAAAAATTCTTAGCAAAATTCTTCCCACTTGCAAAGTCAGCAAAGATGCGGAATGATATCAATTTTTTTATGCAATTTGATTTTGAATCATTATATGAGGCTTAGGAGAGATATAAGGATTAATGAGAAGATGTCCTCACCATGGATTACCTAAGTGGCTGCAAGTGCAAACTTTTTATAATGGTTTGTTGGGACCTTTTAGAATAACCATTGATGCTACCACTAGAGGTGCACTCATGAGTAAATCCATTGATGAGACTTAGATTTGCTTAAAGGTATAGCTTTTAATAATTATCAATGGCCATTTAAAAGATTGGGAATAAGAAAAATTGCTGGAATTCATGAATTAGATGTGATGAACACTATTTCTACACAATTGGCCTCCCTTACAAAGAAAATAGATAAACTGAGTGTTAATGTTGTTCAAAACTCCTTTATGACATGTGAAGTTTATGGGAAGGACATTCCAATGACAATTGTCCCATCTATTCTGAGTCTTGTCAATTTATTGAAAATAGGCAACAGAACAATCCCTATTCTAATACTTATAATCCTGGTTGGAAGAATCATCTTAATTTTTTATGAAATAAAAACCAAGGGTCTTCATCAGCAGCTAAGTCTAATTTTTCGCCTGGATTTCCATCTAGTGCCCCTATGCTAGAGAAAAAGCCTTAAATGGAGGATATGTTCATGCAGTTCATGACAAAGACTAGCGCATTCATAACAAAGACTAATGCATTTATGATAAGGACTAATGCCTCCATTCAAAATCAAGCTACTTTAATTAGAAATCTTAAGATACAAGCAGGCCAACTTGCTAGTGCTTTAAAACTAAACCTCATGGTACTTTACCAAGTGATACTAAAGCCAACCCAAGAAGAAAAGGTAAGGAACATTGTATGGCAATCACTCTCCACAATGGAAAAGAGGTACGTAAAAAGCTAAGTAATCAAGTTTTAAATTCTAAGATTTCAATTCAATCTGTTGAGAAAGAAATTGAAAAAAATGCTGAAAAAGAAATTATGTTTGAAAAATCTGCTCAAAATTCTATAGAAAAATCACAATCTCCTCCCACACCTCTACCACCTTGTCCTCGACGTTTTCAAAAGCAAAAACTTAATAAACAATTTCAGAAATTTCTTGAGATATTTAAAAAATTGCACATTAATATTCCTTTTACTGAAGCTTTAAAACAAATGCCAAATTATCTTAAATTCTTGGAAGACATCTTAACTAAAAAGAGGAAATTGGAAGAGTTTGAGATAATTGCATTTATTGAAGAGTGCAGTGCTATAATTCAAAATAAACTTCCACCAAAGCTTAAATATTCAAAGAGTTTTTCTATTCCTTGCACTATTAATAGTTTTAAAATTTCTAAAGCT